TCATCCACTCGATCTACACGTCCAACTAGGTACCCATACCCTAGTTGGGTGATATGCAAGATTGACCCACGTCCTGCATATGTTCATGGTCAGCTTGAAATCCGCATATCGGCCAGGATCCATCAAGCACGATTGCAGTAGTCTGACGCCGACTCTTGCTCGCCCATCCTGAGGTGTGTCAGGCGCTCTTCCAGCTGGCTGATGTACAGGTTGTCGGTCGCCTGATACGTCGACATGATGAACCGCCACGCATGGTGGTCGGCGTCCAATCAAAGTCGACACGGCTTCAGAGCGATCTGCACCATCGGTGAGCAGCACCGCGAGATGACCATGAAGGTCAGCAGGTGAGCCGCTGAATTCCGCCCGTAGCTCGACGTCGTCCTCGTCCGGCATCACGACTTCGCCATCGGCGAAACTCTTCAGCCAGGCGATCTCCAGCTGGGGCTCGATCGACTCCCTCCACGTAATGAGGTCGCGTCAACATTTCAGCAGCGCGGGCATGGCGATCTTGTCCGGCGAAAACTTGAAACGGTCGTACGTCGGCGCGATCCCACCCACTGACACATGGGTCGCCGACGTCGGCCTCACACTGCTTCGCTAGGGAGAGCGGCATCGTCCACCGGCGTTGCTGTGCGAGCTATCTGCGGCCGCCGTCTACCACAACGCTTGCCCCTGCATCCCGCCAACATCGTCGGCGGTGGCCCTGATCACTCCACGCATCACCCGCGTGCCTCCATCATTGCCGACTTCGTCACCGCCGTCGACCTGCTCGTCGATGCTGCCTTCGTTGTGCACAGGTCGGGGAGAGGCAGACGCACCGTGCTGCAGCACGGGGAGGTGGGTAATCGCGCCCCCACTGCGCGCGAGTGCCTTGCAGTGCCCACTCCAAGGGGACCTTGCCGAACTCGCGAGCCGTATGGCGTCTCCTAACATCAACCTCACGTGCCTCCAAGGTGTCCTCTACACCGCCGGCATCTCCCGAGGTTGGCGTCATGGTCTGCACGGGCTGCCAGCCTAACAACGACTTAGGTATGAGGTCAATCAGCTATTAATATGCAGGTAATCTGCGGGGCCGCCCATGCTCACTGCACCATGCAGAGATAGAACCCAATCCGCAAACCAATTGGGATAAAATGGCATGTTTCCTTGGTGGGTCAGCGCACCCATACCACGTACGTGGGACGACACCTGTAGCCCTTGGGGAGACCGCTTTGGGCCATTCGAGTGTCCGCTTCCAACACTCCCCTCACTGGGAGGGCCCACCACTAGGGCACAGGATGACTGCCGATAGCAGGATTCGAACCCCGGTCTTCTCCACGCTCACCGCACCATGCGGAGAGTCACTCTACACCGGTGGGAGCTAGACCATGGGTGAAGGCACTGGTGGTATGAGTGAGTCAACTCTACTGCCGAGTTGCCGCTGTACCTGCTCCTGGGGATGGTTTGCGTGGTTATTTCGGTGATATTTACCCGATTAATCAAGTGGTCCACAGCCTTCTTTGACTTTGAGAGGTTATTTCGATAATATTTACCCTAATGTTTTGTGATGTTTACCCGATTAAACAAGTGGTCTGCAACCTCAGGCATATGCTCTGGTGAGTCTTGATCTTGTGGGTCGAATTGGCGGCTATGGTGGCTATGCTTGCCTCTATGTGCCCCATGCCGCTCTCATCCGTGTTGTTGTTTATCTAATACACTTTCACCCTTTCATGATCTCCTGCTCCTACCCTTGCTCTCCTGCATCCTTTTCCTAATCAGGTGGGCATGCCAGAAATGCTTGCCTGTATGTGCTCCATGCCTCACACATCTGTGCTTCTGCACTTCGAACTTACCAATGATTACCACATTCTGCTGCCGCTCATCGTACAATCTCTTCCCCTCTGCTTCCCGAGTGTTTGTCTGTACATACCCACTCCCTCGATTCTTCTCCTCTTCGAATTGACCAAGGACTACCACATTCTGCTGCCGCCCATGGTACGCCTCTCCCTCTACTTCTTTGTGTATTCTGTTAGGAAACCAAAGGAAAGTTAGAATCGAGAAAGAGAGTTTGGACTAGCAAGCAGTTGAGTACATATAGCAAACCCTAAGTTGGGCTGTACTCACTATTGAGTACCCCACTGCAGGCTAGACAAATATAACATTCTGACACACCCCCATAGCCAAAGTGGGGTGTAATCAGCACAACAAGCAAGGCAAAACAAGCTCAGGGTGGATCACAAAGTCACCACACATTCTGAGCACAAGTACAAGAAGCAACAGTTTATAGTTCACAGCAAATAAGTAAAGCTAGAGGCTATCACAGAGGGCAAGTGAGGAGGAGGAGGCTGGACTAATAGGAGAGGAGAGAGGAGGCAACGGCGGAAGCTGCAGACACACGGGCAACAGGAGCGGCGTGCACTGTGGCTACCGGAGGCGCACCTCCGGACTACAGGAGTATCTGGCTCCGCGGCTAAGACGAGCGGCAGGAGCAACGGACCCACGGGCGACTGGCGCAGCGGCATCACTGGGCTACCGGAAGCGCACCTCCGGACTACTGGCACTGCTGGCAACACGACGGCTACCTCCACCCAACCTCCCTCTACTGCCGCACCCCCCATTCACACACCCCCCGCTGCACCCCTAGGTTCACTCACACTCCACCCCTTAGCACCACTCCGTCGGCTCCCACACACCCACCCCCCTCAGCGGCAGCTGCAGCAGTGGGAGACGGAGGAGGAGGAGGAGTAGGGGAGACCACTCACATCCGTCACCCCCACACTCGCCACCCCCAAACCCCAACACAGGGCAGGGCAGCAGCAGGAGCGGCAGCTGGGCAGGGCCGCGACGAAGACGGGAGGGGCGACGCGCGGCCCCCCCCCCCGGGTCCACCTCCCGTCGCCTGTCGAGGCGACCTGGGGGGGGGGCGCTCGCGGCCCCCCCCGGGGCGCCGCGACGGGCGACGGGAAAAGGCGGGGGAAGGGTCGGGGCAGGTCTGGGACATGGCCGCGACGGGGCCGGGGCGGGGCCGGGGCAGGGCCGGGGCCGGGCCGCGACAAGCGACGGGGGAGGGCCAGGGCAGGGCCGCGACTGGGTCGCAATGGGCGACGGGGCAGGGCCGGGCAGGGCAGGGCCGGGACGACGACGGGAGGGGCCGACGCGCGGCCCCCCTTCAGTCGCCCCTCCCGTCGTCTGTCGAGGCGCGGGCCCCCGTTGGCGCCGCGACGGGCGACGAGGGGGGGGCGCGCACGAGCCCCCCGGGCGACGAAACCGCCGTGCGCCCCGGGGCGCGCGACGGGCAGGGCACCGCCGCGCGCCACGGGGCGCACGACGGGCAGAGAAGGGCGTCGCGCGGCCCCCAGGGCGGCGCGATGGTCAGAAAACCGCCGCGCGACTCGAGCGCGCGGCGGGAAGAAAAAGGGCCGCGCGCCATGGGCGCGCGGCAGACAGAACGACAGTGCGCGCCCGAGGCGCGCGATAGGCAGTATAGCAGCGGAAGACAATGGTGGGCCCATGCACAGGATCGACCCAGGAGGGTCGACCTGCTCTGATTCCATGTTAGGAAACCAAAGGAAAGTTAGAAACGAGAAAGAGAGTTTGGACTAGCAAGCAGTTGAGTACATATAGCAAACCCTAAGTTGGGCTGTACTCACTATTGAGTACCCCACTGCAGGCTAGACAAATATAACATTCTGACATATTCCTCTGTATTCACCTCCTCGGTGCTGCTGCTTTTTGAATCGACGAAGGACTATTGCATTTTGCTGCCACTCATGGTATGCCTCTCTCTCTTTTTTCTTAGAGTGTACTCAGCCGGCGGGCACCGCAACCCAGCCCTCACGCTCTACTCATCCTCATGTTTCTGCCCTGCTCTCTATGCCCTTTCAATCCATACCTTCCAGTCCTGGCCTTCTTCTCATTTCCCTCCTTGTTCAGTGTGTAATGCGCAGCGGGTCTGGCCTACTGGGTCTCCTCAGTAGCCAACCGCAAGAAGCCCGTTCTCTCCCACGCCAAGCTCGCCGCCTTTGCTGCTGCAGGCGGGCACGGCAACTCAGCACTCACGCTCTATTCCCAAACGCTCATTGGCGTGCTCCAATCCATGGCCCAACTCATCTATGCCTTATCCCTTCCCTTACTCTTCTGAAATTTCTTAATTTCCACCTTTTTTTTTTCCCCTTCCTTACAACCCCCCCTACCCCAATATACAACATGTGCCTCTAGCGCTACTCCCCACCCCTTCAAGCTGCAAGCCCTAGCACATGTTCAAATCCCCTTCCCATTCCGCCCTTCTCTTCCGCCATCCCGCTCCCCCACCCTCTCCCTTTTTTCCAGATTCCAACATTTGTCTCCTGTACTGCTCTTGCCCTACCACCTGTGCTTGAGAGTCCCCTAAATCGGTCTGCAGAAGCCAATCAGATCCAGGTAACTAGTGAGAACTCTCTCATCTGCAGCACTGATCCAAATGTCCTTAAAGTTGGAAGAGATCAAAAGTGGGAGAAGCAGCTGGGAAGAGGAATAACAGCCTAAGAAAGGGCGTGGGGTGGTGGTGAGAGGGTGGTAGGCCGGGAATTGGGAGCAGCAGCTACCGTATGAGCGAGAACAAAAGCCATGAACGGGAGGGTGGTAGAGTTGAGGAGAGATGAGGTGGTATTTGATAAGTCCCTGCTCAGGACAAGGGACTTTTCACTCGTTTCATATCTTTGGAATCAATTCTGATGCATCTCACACTCTGCATGAGCACTTGGTAACCACGCACACACTGTAGAGCGTGTGCGCGCACACACACACGCGCACACGTACACACACACATACATACACACGCGTGCGCACACACACACACATATGCACACACGCGCGCGCGAGGGCGCACACACACACATATACACGCGCGCACACACACATACACACACTCACACACGCACACTCACACACGCACTAGGGCACGAACACACTCACACTGTGCCACAAGAAAGGCTCCCCATATCCCACACTCAAGGTCTCAGCTATGGAGGGCCTTCTCAACCTCATCTCCTTTCTGCTTCGCCGCTGCTCCCTGCATGCCCGCGCCCTGGCCGCCTGATGGCCCCCCTTCCCCCCCTCGGCGTGCCAGCAGCAGGAGCAGTGGGCAGCTTGGGTGTTGCGCCTGAGCTGTCCTTTCCTTCCCCCAGCTTCGTCGGAACGCCCGGCATGCCAGCAGCGGAAACAGGCGGCTTGGGGACAGAGCCCGGGCTTCCCTTGCCCGACTTCTTTCCAGCACCGGGCGCACCAGCAGCAGGAACAGGTGGCTCGGGGACAGAGCCCAGGTTGCGGCCCACCGGCTTCTTCCCAAGGGCTGGGTTGCCAACAGCGGGAGCAGCGGGAGTCTTGGGGGCTGCGCGACCCGGGTAGACCTTAGCTCCCGGCGCCAGCTTTGTTGTCTTCGCAACAGCCGGCGTTTTAACAGCAGGAGCAGCTGGCTGCTAGGGGACGGCGTTCGGGTTGTGCTTAGAGGTGCTTCCCCACCATGGTGCTTCTTCCCCCCCCTTGGGAACGAACTTGCCAGTGCGGAAACATTTGGTCGAATGACTTGCATACGTTCCTTTCTGCCTGCCCGAGAGCGTGAAAGTGGGGAGCAACCACGAAGAGGAAGAACAGCCTGAGCAAGAGCGTGGGGTAGTGGTGACAAGGAATAACAGCCTGAGCAAGGGCGTGGGGTAGTGGTGAGAGGGAAGAACAGCCTGAGCAAGGGCGTGGGGTAGTGGTGCGAGGGTGGTGAGGGGAGGGTTGGGAGCAGCAGTTGTGAGGGGAAAGACGAGCCATGAACTAGAGTGTGGTGGAGTAGAAGTAAGACATGGTGGGGCCTGCTAACTCTCTGCTTAGAACAATAGTTTTTTAGACGTTTCAGAACTTAATTCTGAGCCTGATTTTGATTCTCAGCATGGATCATGTGTCTGTGTGTGTGTGTGTGTGTGTGTGTGTGTGTGTGTGTGTGTGTGTGTGTGTGTATGTGTGTATGTGTGTGTGTGTGTGTGTGTGTGTGTGTGTGTGTGTGTGTGTGTGTGTGTGTGTGTGTGTGTGTGTGTGTGTGTGTGTGTGTGTGTGTGTGTGTGTGTGTGTGTGTGTGTGTGTGTGTGTGTGTGTGTGTGTGTGTGTGTGTGTGTGTGTGTGTGTGTGTGTGTGTGTGTGTGTGTGTGTGTGTGTGTGTGTGTGTGTGTGTGTGTGTGTGTGTGTGTGTGTGTGTGTGTGTGTGTGTGTGTGTGTGTGTGTGTGTGTGTGTGTGTGTGTGTGTGTGTGTGTGTGTGTGTGTGTGTGTGTGTGTGTGTGTGTGTGTGTGTGTGTGTGTGTGTGTGTGTGTGTGTGTGTGTGTGTGTGTGTGTGTGTGTGTGTGTGTGTGTGTGTGTGTGTGTGTGTGTGTGTGTGTGTGTGTGTGTGTGTGTGTGTGTGTGTGTGTGTGTGTGTGTGTGTGTGTGTGTGTGTGTGTGTGTGTGTGTGTGTGTGTGTGTGTGTGTGTGTGTGTGTGTGTGTGTGTGTGTGTGTGTGTGTGTGTGTGTGTGTGTGTGTGTGTGTGTGTGTGTGTGTGTGTGTGTGTGTGTGTGTGTGTGTGTGTGTGTGTGTGTGTGTGTGTGTGTGTGTGTGTGTGTGTGTGTGTGTGTGTGTGTGTGTGTGTGTGTGTGTGTGTGTGTGTGTGTGTGTGTGTGTGTGTGTGTGTGTGTGTGTGTGTGTGTGTGTGTGTGTGTGTGTGTGTGTGTGTGTGTGTGTGTGTGTGTGTGTGTGTGTGTGTGTGTGTGTGTGTGTGTGTGTGTGTGTGTGTGTGTGTGTGTGTGTGTGTGTGTGTGTGTGTGTGTGTGTGTGTGTGTGTGTGTGTGTGTGTGTGTGTGTGTGTGTGTGTGTGTGTGTGTGTGTGTGTGTGTGTGTGTGTGTGTGTGTGTGTGTGTGTGTGTGTGTGTGTGTGTGTGTGTGTGTGTGTGTGTGTGTGTGTGTGTGTGTGTGTGTGTGTGTGTGTGTGTGTGTGTGTGTGTGTGTGTGTGTGTGTGTGTGTGTGTGTGTGTGTGTGTGTGTGTGTGTGTGTGGTGTGTGTGTGTGTGTGTGTGTGTGTGTGTGTGTGTGTGTGTGTGTGTGTGTGTGTGTGTGTGTGTGTGTGTGTGTGTGTGTGTGTGTGTGTGTGTGTGTGTGTGTGTGTGTGTGTGTGTGTGTGTGTGTGTGTGTGTGTGTGTGTGTGTGTGTGTGTGTGTGTGTGTGTGTGTGTGTGTGTGTGTGTGTGTGTGTGTGTGTGTGTGTGTGTGTGTGTGTGTGTGTGTGTGTGTGTGTGTGTGTGTGTGTGTGTGTGTGTGTGTGTGTGTGTGTGTGTGTGTGTGTGTGTGTGTGTGTGTGTGTGTGTGAATATGTGTGCGTGCGTGTGTGCGTGCGTGCGTGGGTGTGTGTGTGTGTGTTTTGCTAGAAAGGCATGATGCCGGCATTGCGGAAGCTAGTTTGTAGAAAGAGCAAGGCTGGAAGACATGTACTGAATGGCTGGAAGCAAAACGAGAATAATGGAATTGATTGGTTTCCTAGAATGACAGAGCAGGGTATATATGTCAGCAGCTCACACCAATAATCCTACACCACTAATTCTACCCGCCAATAATTCTTATCCTCCAATAATTCTAGACTCCAATAATTCTGGCCTTCCAATAATTGTACACTTATTGGAGGGCTGGGAGTCTTATAAAGGAACACTACAGTAAAATCTAACAGCATCTATAATATCTTATGTTGGTGTATTTAACACTCCCCCTTGCTGTAGGTTTTACTGCGTTTTGTCTTGGAGGATACCTGTAACTGGCGTTGATTGCGGCAGGATTGATTGAGTGGAGTTGATTGCGGAAGTGATTTTAGTTCCGGCGGGGATTGCGGCGGTTTGATTTACGTTGACCGTTTCGGGGTCAGAAACTGCATTGGTGGGAAATCGCGATGGTCGGAAAGTTCTGTAGCAGTTGTGACGACGCGCAGGTGCACGTTCCTCCCAAGTTGGCGACCTGGTTTGTTTGTCGCAACACAAGTTCCTTCCTCCTAGGGTTTCTGATTCTCGTCCCCGCTTCTCGAACTCCCGTGCACTGTACACTCCCCTGTCAAGCTCTCCTTTCAGTTTGTAGCTTTTCACAGCTCCCGTTTCTCCCACACCCTTCTCCAGCGGGGGTCTGGCTGTCTCGTCATTCTTGATTCCCAATCTTTCGTTTCATGCATGACCTCCAGAACGATGGCTGCTGCTGCAATTTCCACGGTGAAATGACAGTTTAGATCAGCGCGGTTCCCAGCAGCAGGGCGGATTGCCTCCCTTGGTCGTAGGATAGCTGCTGCTGGCGAATATCTTCATGGCGCACGGCTTCTTTCTGGTCATGTGACCTATGACGCGCTGCTTTTTCCGCCTTCCAGTGCTGACCCGATTTCCTTTGCTGTCGTGCGACTGCTGCTTTAGTCGCGACGATTTTCTGGTGTGCGTTGTGCTGCGTCATGGCGCGATGTCCTTCAGCTGTAGCTAGCGCGCATCACTAGCGCTCGCCATGTTATGGCTGGCGCTCGGTGACAGCAGCGCACGTGACGACCTGCAGCGCCGGATACGCGTTTTCTGCGGCTGCGGCCAGATCCGCGTCTGCTGCTTCGGTCGCGCGGCTGTCGTGACCTCCTCGCTTGACAGCCTGCGCGCTGCAGCTCCTTGCGCGCGACTGCTGTTCATGGCGCCCGTGGCGATCGGCAGCAGCGGCTGGCGCACGACTGCAGCAGCATGCGCGCCGTTGCATTACATCGCATGTGGCGGCTTCTGCTGGTGCGCGCCCTCCCCTTGCCATTTCGGGCGACCTTGTGCTAGTGTGGCAGCATCTGCACTGCGACACTTGGCTCTTGGCAGGTGTGCGGCCTTCTCACACCAGCAGCTTCCGACGTCGCACTACTGCAGCTGCGTGCCTACTCTGTCGTGACGAGGTGAGTAGCCCTTCACCGTGTAACTACCACTGCTTGCACCTTGACCTCTTCATCACCCATGTGTGTTCCTTGCAATTGATGTAGTACAGCACTGACCGTTTTAAGTCACTTGTTACTGCTCCCACATTCTCTTGTGATTTTCCTTGCCCCCACCCATACCAGCTAGCGAGCGTGAACGGCTGCAGCCGGCATCGGCACCTGGCGCTCTGGCGCGCACGTCTGCAGCTCCTGGTGGCGCATGGCTGCTGCTCCTGGCGGCCCACTGCTGCTACTCCTGGCGGCCCACTACTGGCGGCCCACTGCTGCTACTCCTGGCGGCGCACGACTTTCTCCTTCCTACCGAGGTGAGAATGCTTCGTCGATCCTGACTGTTTCACCCATGTTACCCTTTGTACCCTGTGATGTTACCCTGCGCTGCCCCCCTTGACCCTGTGTTGCTCCATGTTGCCCTGTGCCACTCCCCCTATACCAGGTGGCGGACGGAAGCAGCTGCAACTGGTACACAAGCACCTGGCGGCTGCTCCTGCACCTGGCGGCCGCTCCTGCACCTAGCGGCTGCTTCTGCAAGCGTCTGCCAGCACCACCTGACTGGTGGCAGCAGCATCACGCTTGCAGCAGCTCCCTTGACGCCCTGCAGCACCTGAAGCCCTACAGCACCGGGCCTGCAGCAGTTCTCCCTGATGCCCTGGCCGCTTGCACTGGTGCAGCTCCAGCACTGGGTGGCAGCGGTATCAGCGGCACCTATGTCACCTTGGTGAGCAGTCCCAGCAGCGCCTGACTCCAGCTGTCTTCCCTTGTATTTAGTAGGACTTTGTCAGCTTCTTCTTGTGATTTCCTCTGTCTGCTTGCCTCATGCTGACTTGTTTCTTCCCCCCTTGAAACCAGCAGGCATATGAAGTCTTCAGGAACGGCCATTGCAGTTGGCGAGTGGTTGTGACCGACCAGCAGCGACTGTCCAACAGAATTTGATGGCTGCTCTTGTCACTGATTGCAGTAGGTCTTCTCTTGATGCATATGTGCTGACTCTTGTAATGGCGAAAATGAAAGATGGTTGTGCGATCAGATCCCGAATGGTTGGACCCCAAACTACTCCACACCCCACTCCCCCTCTCACTCGTGTGTTGGTAGTCTTGCACTTGCGTGAGCACGCAAACAGCACCAAACACATGAGTGAGATGTGTGGAGTTACGTGATGCCTTTTTGTCCAGCACCCTTTGAGAAGCCCGGACATGAGATTGCAACTCCAGTTGCTTCAATGTGAGGACTGTGTGCAGACGGGGATCCATGTGGAAGAGGTTGGAGACCGCACAAGATGCTGCAGGTGAGATGTTGCTTTGCTGTGAGGGGCTTGGTGAGATAATCTGCAGCCTGCTGAGCTGTCGGGCAGTACTCCGGCCGCACAACTCCATCACGAACGGCCTTCCGCGTCCAATGGTAACGGACGTCCATGTGCTTGATGCGTTGACTCATCTGCTCCCCGGTGGCAAGTGCAATTGCGCTTTGGTTATCCACAAAGATGATAGTAGGTTCTTGCTGTCGAAAATCGAGGTCTTCACACAAGCGGCGAAGGTATGTAGCTTCCCTTGCCCCTTCGAACAGGGCAATGTATTCTGCTTCAGCTGTTGATGTTGCAATGACAGTTTGCCGTTTAGTCCTCCAACTGACAGCAGCTCCTCCCAAGGTAAACACGTAGCCTCCAACGGAGTGACGCCCTATTTCGTTTGCATAATCCGAGTCGGTGTATCCGCGGAGCACCAAGTCCTCTCCTCCATAGACCAGCCCTATGTCCGCCGTGTTCTGTAAGTAGTTGAACACCCTGTGGATTCCGAGCACTGTTGTTGCTGTTGGTTTGCTTGCTTGGC